AGCACTCTTCATTCCAAAGGGATGAACTTTCTCGTGAAAGGCCTGACCTAATATTGTGAACCTCAGGAATTTTCAGTGTACTAAGAATTACTGGTATGTAAAAATATGGGTCTTGTATATCTATGGATGGTAGCCAGTCTCCAGATTATATAGCTTGTATAACCACTGAAAGAGGGAATGGCTGACGCACACATTGTTTAGCCTAGAATCAGGAGATAGCCTGTTGGTTTCTTTGCATTATAAACCAGATGGAAGAAAAACGGTCATTTACCCTGTGTGTAGAATTTTTTTCCTGTGGCTTCCTTTGTTAAGTGATCTATGAGTTCTTGTTATAATATTTGGTTTAGTTTTGTGTGTCAGCAGTCTGGTGAACCCTTAAACCTTTGGAGGGCAGTAGAGAAATAAACAGGATTGGGAACTCTTTTGAAGTAATTTCCAGTAGTCAGTGATTATGAACAATATTTTTCAAGACAAAAAATACTCTAGATTCCCCCAATGGAGCCTAGAGCCTCAATTCTGTACATTGATTGTGTGATGAGACAGGTAGTCATTAAAGAGGTTTTGGGCAGTTACATCTTTTATTCTTAGTCTTTAGCCTTTCCCTTGTTATGGAATTTAGGGATTAAAAGAGTAGTTTATTCTGATCTATGCTTTAAGCAACCATGGCCTTCCTTGGAGGATTATGGGTTGTGGGAGGGGGGAGCTGTTCCCCTATGGGAGAATGTAATTTTTTTTTCAAATGCCCCATTATCATAGTAGATCTTATATACACTCTTGCCATCTACCAGGGGGAATCTAAGACTTTTTCTAAGTCACTGATAATTTAAATGTCAGCCAGTAAATTATTTGGATGGTGGCCATTTGCAATTATTATTTTAGTTGTATAACAACATTAAGTGTCAGATTTAAATGTAGAAAAAAGAGGAAATGGTAAATCAAGACAGGTGTAACGTACATGTTAGCATACCAAGCAAAGTCAATTTTGTACCTACCATCTCCTTTTATCACTTTCTATTAGGTCTTCTTTTAATATATTTTTGTCAAAACCTGAATTCGTTTCTTCACATTCATTAGATGCTGCCCTCACATTTAGCTTTTCAAGCACTATCAGTGAGACAATTGTGCACTTTCCATGGTTTGTGTTTATTATGTTAAACTGAATGATCTTACATGTCATCATTCTGTGGTTATTCCTTGTGTTGAACTGGAGAGTGGCGTAATGTCATGAATAATATATGACTTGTTAGAATAAAGTCAGTCTTTTTCTTTGGTTCACAATGGTTCACTTTCTTCTCTAAGAATCTGTTGGTTGATACTACTTTCAAAACAAATGGCATATTTTATCGGCTTCTCTGATTCTTTGCTTCCTGTTAAAAAAATGACATATTTCTTCACCTCTTTTATTCTTGCTCATATGGGTGAATTTCACCTGAGTGCAGAGAGCCTGCATAAGGCTCTATATGACACCTAAACTCCACATCAAGGGCTTACATAGGGTTTAACTGATGTGTTAGGCATTGTGTGATCCTTCTGAAATGGGATGAACATCACCTTTCAGTTCTGAAGTTCCTCATTGGATACATTTTTTCTATCATACACCGCTACCTCGACATAACACGACCCGATATAACACGAATTCGGATATAACGCTGTAAAGCAGTGCTCCGGGGGGGGCGGGGCTGCGCACTCCGGTGGATCAAAGCAAGTTCAATATAATGCGGTTTCACCTATAACGCGGTAAGATTTTTTGGCTCCCGAGAACAGCATTATATCGAGGTAGAGGTGTACTTGAATAGGTTTGTCTAGGATTTTTCTCTTCCCTAAATATTTGCTTATTATTGATCAGCTCCATAGATGTCCGGAGCAACTATAACTCTGAGAAAGTGAGAGAAGTCGCAAATGCTGAACATATCACAGATTTTACAAAAACTGCATCTAAGTTGTACACACATAAGGGGTAATTACTTGTGCAATGGCAAACTATACAAAATAATCATTTCCATGTGCAATAAATCATTTCTGCACAATTTATACTCCTTTTTAGCCCTTAAAATGTAAGTATATATATTTTTAAAAATTATGGAAAGCCTTGATAAGTTTGAAATAGCTCCTTCCATGTTGATGTGATCATTAGGTGAGTCCACCATTAAGATTTTTTTTTTAAATAAAAGATTCTTGATACAAAATAACCAAAGAAGAGCTTTAAAAGTGTTGTCAAGTCTATTGCATAAATACTACTTTTTGGCCATTATAATACGCAAAACATGTTTAATAAATATGTATATAGTAAAATAGTTACTAATCTATCTTTGAAAAGTAGTTACTGTACATCAAATAATTTGATTCTCTCTATATTACTCATACTGACATAAACTATTGTATATGGCTTACCGGGCAACTCCATCATCAATCCCAGTGTATTTCAGCCTTAATTCCACAATCAAATCTCCTTGTAATTTTAACTTTCTAACAATACCCTAATACCAGCCACAAGAGATTCTCTACTCTAGCTTAATCAAGATGCAAAATAGAAACCAGTTTTGATATTGTACAATTCATTATATACACTGAGAACTCAGTTTTTAATAGTGAACTCTCTTTTTCCAGGCACACCCTAGGCTACAAATAACTGTGCCCACAATTCAATTGGATAGCTATGTGATAGCATTTGCACCCCCTAACTAATTGCAGGCACAGACATTTTACACCTGCAAGAATGGACATCAGAATGAGGTTCTTTTCAAAATTAGACTCTGATTTGTCTGCAGAGTTTAAGAAACTGCAAATATATAACATGTCCCAAAGGTTTACCCCCCATGACTGAATACATAAATAATATGCAGTAGTACTTTTGGCCATAGAACTCAAAGCACTGTACAATGACAGGTAAGTATAATTATACCCATTTTCCAGAAGAGGAAAGTGGAACACAGAAAGGTTAAGAGACTTGACTACCTACACATCGAATCAGTCGCCTGACACCACTATCTGCTGGACTATGCTACCTCATAATGGAGGCAATCCAATCATAGCAATGGCTTTTTAAAAGGTCCATATTTTATATGACTGATGAGAAACAACTCTAGGCTTTGCAGGATGCACTTTGTCCAAGGACAAATCTAAATTCTGCAGCAAAATCTCTAGATTCTGTGGCACTGGTGGAAATTTTATAGCAGTTTTACATGCATTTTAAAAAATGATTTATTTGTGTGTTAATATGAAAACAGGTAATGTATTTTGATATTGAATTGAATTTATGATGTTGCCAGATCTTCACGTTTCAATATGCCACACATTTTTACTGACAGCACCTAAGTTGTCCTATATCAGAGCCAACATTTCACTGAGATGTATGAGGCAGTTCACACTTTCCAGAGCTATTATTTCAGGCTAGCCGCAAATTCAGGAACTCAACAGTGCATTAGTTTACATTTGACTCCCATGTTCAAGGCTACCTTCACAACCACTATAAATTCCACAATCACATAACTGAAGAATATATGAGAGCTTTGACAATGCCACACCAAAAAAAAAAAATCAGTGTTTCATGTAGCCTCCATATGCTCTTCAATACTGGGATAAATCAATTATCAAAACTGCTTACTCTTCAAATGTTGCAGAATGGGGTTTGAATGGGTTTTGCTAAACTGAGTTTAGGGTCTGTATTCAGCTCAGGCAAATGTTAATAGTGTACTAAATATTTCATCAGCAGAAACTGTACTTTGATGATCATCTGTTCTGAAATACTGTACTGCGTTTTGGAATCCCTCTTGGCCTTTATCTCCTTTACTATCACATTACATTCCACAAGGTCCAGCATTTAAAAAATAATT